GCTAGGAATTCTCAGCAATGTCCAATCAGGTGGTTTATCTTCACCGGGTTTGAAGTGGCGCCTTGTTGGAATCAGCTGAGGAAAAGAGGCGCTGGGTGAGTGAGAGGACGAAAGGGGGCTATACCTGTTGATGCTGGTTTTCCGGGAAACTCAGCAGGGATTGGCACTGCTCCACATAGTTTAACTCAGTAGTCCCCAAACTGTGCCCTTAAAGAGATTTTGGACTTCAGCTCCCAGAATCCCAGAGTATTGGCCAACATGGCTGAGGCTTCTGGGAGCTGAAGGCCAAAAACCCTTAAAGGGCACAGTGTGTCTGTCTGTTATGCTCAAGAGCTATTTGAGGTTGTCGTGTGCTGACTTATGGCAACCATAAGGCCCTAAGTTGTTCCCGACTTAAGGCAGCCCTAAGACGAACCTATTCTGGGGATTTCTTGGCAAGATTGTTTCAGAGGAGGTTTGCCATTGCCTTACCCTGAGGCTGAGAGAGTGTGACTTTGCCCAGGGTCACGTTGTTGTTGTTGTTGTTGTTGTTGTTGTTGTGTGCCTTCAAGTCGTTTCTGACTTATGGTGACCTTAAGACTAACCTATCATGGGGTTTTCTTGGAAAGATTGCTTCAGAGGGGGCTTGCCATTGCCTTCTTCCCCTGAGGCTGAGAGAATGTGACTTTGTCCTAGGTCACCTAGTGGGTTTCATGGCCAATCTGGGAACTCAACCCTGGTCTCCAAAATCCTAGTCCAGGGGTAGGCAACCTTTTTGAGCCGGGGGCCGGGTTGCTGTCCCTCAGATAATTTGGGGGCCGAAGCACCAAAAATAAATAAATAAATAAATAAATAAATATTTTTTTTAATTTAAAAATTTTAAAAATTTAAAAATATATGCATGCACACTCTGTCAGCCCCAGAAAAGCCATGGCAAAACCCCTGTGGAGATTTTGCCAAGAAAACCCCAAGAACAAGTAATAACAACAATAATCAATATCATCATGGCGGGCGGGGGGGCGGTGGCGGCAGCAGGACCTTCCTGGGGCCGGTCCAAAGGCCTCAGTGGGCCGCATCCGGGCCTTGGGTTGCCTACCCCTGTCCTAGTCCAACACTCAAACCACTACGCCATGCTGGCTCTCAAGACCTATAACAAAAAAGAAAAACTATCCTAACAATGCAACTGGGGATTATAAACAACACAGGCCTGCAACTGGGGTCATAATTTTTTTAAAAAAACAACAACAACATATACTGGTTTAATAGAATTTGGAATCCTAAATCCAAAAAAAGACTTTAAATTTAGCCCATCGCGTACCGTTTTTTGCAATTTGCTTGGATGTTTCTATATCATATGTAAGTGAATGAAATGACCTTGCAAAAAATTATCCTGCGAGCACAAGCTTTAACTACAAATGCAATCCTGGGCCACCCCTGAAACCTGAGCTTCCAAACTCAGAGTTGAATCCAGGAACATGCCCAAGCTGTGGACCTGCATCTTCCGGGGGAGTCTAACCCCATTCAGCACAGGCTGAATCCCTATTCCCAGATCTGCCTTTTGACTGACCAGGAGCATCTCTCTCTTGTCTGGATTAAGTTGCAATTTATTCACCCTCATCCAGTCCATTACAGATGACCTTTGATTTTGGACAGGAGTAATAGACACTCATCCCCACTAACCCTTGGCACAGTGTCTGTTGGTCAGACTGAAACAACATAAAACTTGCTAGAATACTGCCCTCTTTGGAAAAGAAAGAACCTTCGCCATGTGTTTGTGTGATTCACTCTTGATAGGCAAATTACACTGCATTAAATGTAAGCTGGTATTTAAGTTCCCAAGTACTATGGAGTCAGAAGGAAATCCTATCAGGCATTGATCACATACTGCTTTGCTGTGGCTATGTTTTGTAAAAATGGGGTTGTATTTTGTTGGTTGTCCCTGCAGGAGACCATTTAAAGCAAGGTGCTGTGGCCTATTTGATCAAGATAATGGGTGACAGGTCTATAATCTGCTTCTTCAGAGAATGCCTCTGTATTACTGGGCTGCGGGTGGAGATTAGGCAGAACTTCACCCATTCTCTGATAACTGTTGGGGATTGCATAACGAAGAATTCCCAAGACAGGTTCAGGTTCTTCTCCCATAGCTTTGGTACATTGACCTGCAATGGCTGGCCTCAGTGAGCGAGTACAAGATATGGAAAAAGTAAGCAAGGAGCTGCTGAAACTGATGGCAGAAGGCAAAGCAGCAGCGAAACTGAAGGACAACCTCTCCAAACAGGAGCAAATGATTGACAAACTGCTGGATACTCAGAAGACCACAAAACAGTTGATCAAAGGTACATCTTGCACTAGTAAGCCTTAGAAACCAGCAAGGTACAGGGCCATTGGGCAAACAAATGGGGGAATCTGACTGGGAGTAAATGGATGCTATAGTATCAGGTGTTCATAAGCCATTGTGGAACCTTAGCCACCTCCTTGATGCCACTGAACAGGGAAGTGAAGGGATGGGAATAAGAGGTAATTGGGCTTGCTGGAGGGGAGGGACTGGTGCCTTGCCCCCACACAATTGCTCACC